TTTAATTTGAGGCTAGTATTTCAAAGCTCTGCTGATTGTCATTAGTGATATGTTGTTATACCTTTTAAGTACCGTTATATTTTTACAGTGCAAATCAGCCAAGATATTTAGGGTTGTATTGACAGAGTGGTTAAAGTGTAAGTAAATTCTAACTATGAACTTCTTTTATTTGCTCCATTTTGGTCTGTTAAATATACAATCAAAAGTATTTTGTTTTATCTCCTTGAAGTGACAAAAATACCTGTTGATTTCGACAGAAACCTTGTGATCTGATAACTTCCTGTGATCTCTACCTGTACACAAGGAGGGGTTACGGAGATGAGGAGGGTTTTTAGAAGTCATAAAGGGGAAGGGATATGAGGAGGATGGAGAGAGGTAGATGAGTGGAGGACTCAGGGGCGTCCCGAGGCCGGGTGTCACCGGTCTCTAGACCGGGTGACACCCCGCCGTGTCCTCATCGCGCATGCGCGACCATCTGATTGATGCCTTTTCTCTACCAAGATGGCCGCCGGCAGAGAGAGGAGGGGACTTTCACCCGGCAGGATGAGGTATGCCGCCAGGTCCGCTCCTCTCTCCTGACACTGTTGGGCTCTCGGTCCATGACCGAGGGACCGACTTTTTAGAGAGGGGTGACACCAAAATGACTGTCAGTCATTTTGGTGTCACCCCTGCAATGGTGACACCTGGGTGCGGGTCGCACCACCTGCACCCCCCTTGTAACAACACTAGGAGGACTGGGGGGAGGAGCCCGGTGATGTCGATGTCTGTGACGTCACCGGATCTCCGACGGGACTCCCGGAAGACCCGGAAGACCCAGAAGCCGGTGGAGAGGTGAGTGTTTTCATTACAGATCAAAAGAATTTTAATCGATCAAAAATTTTAACGATTAATCGGGTAATTAATCGTTAATTTCCGTAGGCGTAGAAAAAACATGGGGTAATGTGCATGGATTTCTGTGTTAATTTAGTTTGTTTTTTTATTTATTCTGACATATGATTTAAGAGTTAGCTTTTTATTGCTGTTTTAAATGTTCCTCAATTCCTGTCTGTTTGAACTGTAGCCACTGGGATAGGAAGCAAGGAGAAGTCTCTAACAGAGTCCCATATAGCAGTAAGAACCTGACAGGAATTCTAATCCTTCCCCACTCTATCCAAAGCTAAAATTGACACTGTAATAGAAATAATATTGCTTTCTGTGTCCCTTAGGGACTTCCACTTACTTTCTGTCCCAGTGGCAATGTTAGCTCCAGAACAAGAAGTGTTGGCAATCTCCCCAACAGTGAAAAAAAATGGGCAATAAACGTGAACCTGTAATTATAATGCAAAGATCTCATATATCAGCATGTCAGCATTACCCAATCACATTAGTAAAGAAAGTGTTTCTTAAATGCCATGAACAAGAAAAAGTTCTGCTGCCAATCTATTCATGAGATCCAAAAACTAGGCAGCCTTAATCACATGATCTCTGAGCATTGTGCATATTTAATGTTATTAGATACATTGAGAATATGCAAGTCATAGTCGCTATGCAGCAGAAGAAAGCTTGAAGCAGAACTACACCCTCAAATCTTTTACTGCCAAGGAAGGTGTCATCCTCTGCTTGGATTGCAGTTGCCATGATCAGCTATGCCACCAGCCATTTGATGGCTTGAACGTTCAGTTGAGAGCTGGAATAAGCACTTTGGCAAACCTTGACATTTGGCATGCCTTAACCATTTTTGGAGATCCGATTTAACCACTTGAGATCTTTAGATATGTCTGGTATATCAAGGTCTTCAAGGGCTAGGGGTTAAAACTAGCTCATGATTGCAGCCATAGGCTTGTTTCTATTTTCTTCGGTCAGCTTCTTGCTTCTATGTAAAAATTATATGAGTGGCTGTAAAGCCACCCGATCACTTTTATGTGACTCATTGGTTTGTTCCCCAATTTCCTCTGTAGTGTGTAAATCTGGAAGTGCTCAGCTCTGAGAATTTCCAGGTTTCAGAGCTGTCAAAATTCTGTCTGAAAAGCCATGTAAACAGATGGTGGAGAACAGTCATTTTTTTTGTTTTGCTGGAGCAAAGGGTAGGGGGATGATAATGGGTCTAACAGACCACATATACCTCAATGCTATCACATTGTTAGCCCCCTTGAGATCGCAATATAGTTAAGTAAAAAAAAAAAGTGTTAAAAATTATAATGAATTCAAATTACAAAACAGTAAACGCATTCCTGCTGCCTCCGTCCACAAATGAACACAAATGCAAGCATAGGGCACGCACATGTATGTAAACAATAGCATGAGAGAAATTAATCTAGGTCCCTCATTTTCAGTTAACTCTAAACTGATGAGTTTTGCTCCTCTTCTGTGTTGGTAGGCCACTCACAGATCATGTGAATAGATCTGTGAATGGATGATGCAGCTATGCCGGTGGAACCACGCACATTGGCGCCAAATTCAAAACCAAACAGAACTCTGCTGGGGATAGAACCCCACAATTCAGGTTAGTGTGTGTGTGAGGGGGTGAGGGGGGGTTGAGGCTGGCATGGTCCAGGAAGCCAGTTTAGACCAATGATATGCATCCAATACTAGAGTGAATGTAGATAGATAGTGGTGTCTAAAGAGATCAGCAGCACTGATATGCAAAATAATAAAAAGAGTAATTTATGTTAAAAAAACATGGCATTTTCCCATGATACACAGTGTTTAACAAACTGAACTGATCATCCAGTAAGAGTTTATATCTACTGTACAAAAACCTTTTCTTAGCAAAAAGACTTGAAAACCTGAAATTCTGTTTATAATCTCTGTTTAGAATCTCCCTGCTGTTGTCAGGTCAGAGAGTTTATTATTGTATTCTACTGGTCAGACAAGTGGATGTGTCAGCACACTGTGCAGGCATGGTTCAGGAAGCCGGTTTAGACCAATGACATGCATCCAATACTAGAGTGAATGTAGATAGATAGTGGTGTCTAAAGAGGTTCAAAGAGATCAGCAGCACTGAGATGCAAAATAATGAAAACAGTAATTTATGTTAAAAAACATGGCATTTGCCCATGATACACAGTGTTTAACAAATTGAACTGATCATCCAGTAAGAGTTTATATCTACTGTAGTCGTGCAGGATGACTGATCAGGTAGTGGAACATTAAAGGATCTGTTAAATGTTTCAAGACTGGTCTTAATAAATTCCAATCGGGTGAAACATTTTGTACAATAAGCATGACGAGTTACATTTTAAAGGTATATTAAGTCCCCGTTCCCACGTAGCTCTAATCTTAGAGCTACAAAACATTCAACACTAGGAATTCCATTGTTTTCTATGGCTCCTGTTCACACCTAAGCATTTTGTCGCATGCAGAAAAATGCCTATCACTGAAAAAAAGCACAACTTTTTTGCAGATTCCAACCAATAGACTTCAATGGAAATGCCTGGAAAAACATGACACAAGTGTTTTTGCACATTTATGTGCACGTTGGTCGGGTTTACATTTATCTCACCATCTGCCAGCTAAAAAGCACAGCCTAATGTACACCTGCAAAAATGCATGAAAAAAGTACAAGAACACTGGCCAAGAACGTGCGATAATATGCGTAAAAATGCTGTCACCTAGTTGTGAATGGGGCCTAAAGGCTAAATTTGTTTCATCAATATAGTATTACTGATAAACAGATTTACTGTATTCACTGTTTCTTCTTCATTGAAAGTGTTTCTTTCCCTGATTTAAGATTGCTCCTTTAAGCACCGTCAAGTTCTAGGGTGGCTCCATTACCTTACAGGGTCCTCTGCAGTCACCCTTTCGTGTGTGGACTACAGGGTGGACTACAAGAGGAGGGGGTGACGCTGCCTGCACCTACATGCACAAGCAGCCGCAGATCAGAAAAAAAATGAACATGGTTACATGCTGGTGCAAGGCATGAAAGACCTATAGTTCCGCTGAATTAAATAGTGGATACAATAATGACGTTATGTGTGCGCTTTCCCCGGCAGGAAGTTTAAGAAAGCAGCACACAGGAAACGATGGCGATGGGGGAGCAAACATAAAAAAATTGTTTCCAACTGATTAGCGAGGAATTGTTTATTAGCCTTTAGTAGGCTAATGAGGACTGATTCGTTTTTGTAATAAAAAAGGGGCTTTAGTACTACTAATTCTTACCAAGTATATGAAAAAAAACATGCTTGTGGGTTGTCTTCTACCCAGATTAGTCTTACTGAGTGTGTGTATGACTGTAGAAAGGACACTAGAATAAAAGTTCTGTGGTGGGCAGGGTCTGATGTGAAAGCCTCAGTGCATTAAGGCTCAACTGCAGGCAAAACCTTTGTTTTTGTTTTGCTTTTTTAGTTAGTGGCTAAAATTTTGAACTCGTATCTGGTTTTTATTGCCATTTGTGTCTTTATTGGGGAAATATTCTCTTAATTTCTCCTTCTGTGATGCCCATACAAGAACTGAAGGGTGTGGGCGCTACTAGGACAGGAATGAACAGGAAAGCATTAAAAACATTGTGAGTAGTTGTAACCTTTCTTTACTGTACTAAAAAAGTGGGGGGGGGGTGTTTGTCTGTATCGCCATTAGAGAGATTTGTTATCACTTCCTGTCCTGATAGGAAGAGAAATCTCCCAAATAGTTACACAGAAAACAAAAAAACCCAAATAGGGGCTCTCTCCTCTTCCTGCTGTATTCAAAACAAAATAAAACGTTTTGACTGGAGTTGGGCTTTTAAGCTTTGTGGTAAAACAGATCACTGTTATATACAGTAAATGAGGCAAAGAAATTATAAACACCAGCCCTATAAAAGCATTGCAATATGTAAAATGGGCGTGGGTCAGTTTTTTTTTACCCTGATTATTTATTGTGTACTTCTATCAAGATGGCTTAACAATCAGGTAGACAATATTTAGTGTGTGTGCTAGGCTACACCCCATCTATGTTCTTTAGGCTTTATTTTGATGGCTGTTTGTTGAAATAATACTGTAAAACACTGAAACTGTGTATTAATCATATAATAATATACTTTCAAGGTTGTTCGATTATGGACATGGACGTGTTCCTCCTCCACCCCGTGCTGTCATTCCTCTGAAACGCCCCAGAATAACTGTGCCAGCAACACGCAGAGGAAAAGGAATCTTCTCACTGAAGGGAGCTTCAAGGTCTGCCTCCTCGTCATCAGGCTCCAAATGTGAGTGCTTGCTTTGTTCTTCCTTGATAAAAGACTGCAACTGCAGATATATGTTTTGTGCAACACCAGTAAATAAGTTTACCATAGAATTTATATATGTAACATAATATTTCACAGTATGGTTACAGACTGCTGGCAAAGGCAGAGGTTTGATACAAAAAAAAAGCAGCTCTGGCTCCAATGCTCTCCTCCTCTCAGAGCTCTTCCACCACTAGATTGTACAGTCTCCTGGATTGAATGACACCCAGCATCATTCAACCCTTGAAGAGTGATGGACTTCTGTAAGTGCAGGGCGTCATGGACCCACCCCCTGACGGGGCATTACAACAGTTTACATTTACATACAATGATGCAGAGAGAAGAAGACATAATCATGTTAGTGCTGTCTGTAAAAAATAAGTCAAGGCAACTGGACTTGCTGTATTTTTCTTCAAACGTTTCACTGGTCATCCGACCAGCTTTCTCAATTCAGAATTCTGAATTGCTTTGTTTCACTGGTCATCCAACCAGCTTTCTCAATTCAGAATTCTGAATTGAGAAAGCTGGTTGGATGACCAGTGAAATGTTTCAAGAAAAATACAGCAAGTCCAGTTGCCTTGACTTATTTTTTACAGATATACCATGACCTGGATGAATGAGAACCTTCACAGACATGTTAGTGCTGATCTTTGCTTCATCAGCAACCGTCCGGAGAAGAGCTCAAAAGGAAGAGGAACCCGCACATTATATGACTGACCTGAAAACACCTTAGGGGGGGAGGGGGGAGTCTGGACTTGAACTTTAAATAAAAAGCTGCCCCTTGTTATCATTTTACTTGTTGCTAAATGCTATTAGATCCTGTTTCTTCACCCCACTAAATGCTCACTTCTATCTTTAAAGTCAAAGAACAGCCATTAGGCTAAATTTACACAGTTTTAACTGCAGCCTAAGGGACTCCATTTTCAGTCATCTGACTATAATTTTCAAATTGAATTGGACTTTGAAAGTAGGAATACTTATCCTTATGTGTAAGCTGTGCAAATTTAGCCTATTGTGTTTCTCCTTGGTTTACTTCCTGCGGTGTCCTTCTTCAGGTGCCCTTGTCATTACCTGCATGACGTGGGCACTTTCTATTGGCTGTCCAGCAGTGGGGTCCTTTCAGGATCTAGAAGAAAAGTGGTGTTATTGCAAGGGGTTGAAAGGGGAAGGGCTGACGAGGGACCATCTGCAGCACTGAAGCAGCACCGGTGAGGGACCTGGAGCGGGGACATAAGTGAGTATAACTTGCTTTACAAGGTAAGGAAAAATAAAAACCCTGCCAGATGGATTAGAAGGGCAGTTGTATTGCCTGCTAATGTTGTCTATGTTCTCAGATATTAATAATACATGCAATTTTCCTAGAAATAGTTGTTTATGAAAAGATGATGTTCATCATGACAGAAGATAATGATGTGCTTTACTCTTTATTTTCACCAGCTATGCAGCTGTGATTAGCTCTGATGTAATTGGTTCTGTTCAAGTATCTTCTGCCCTTTTATTATCAGTTTTTCACACTGATTAAGCTATTCCCATTCTAATACACCAGCACCATCCTTTGCAGCCTTTGTGTGTGTATGTTGGCTGTAGGAAAAGACTCCAGACTGCATTTCAAAGCTGTCGGTCACATTTATGTATTCAATGTTTATTGCCATTACAATGTATGGGATTATTCATGCACAACTGTTGGACAACCAGAGGTTAAAAAGCAGAAATGGTAGTTTATAAAAATAATATCTCATAGTAATGAATAATACATTCCATCTGATGCTCTACTGGATGGCAACAAACAATGTTATGCACACTGAAAATATACACTGAAATATGGAGCTGGAATAAATACATTTCTTTCATACATGATTTCATTTCAGAATTGACTTTGCCAGTTTATTAATCCAAGCATATATGATACTATCTTTGTATGAAATATATAGAAATTAGATTATTTCTAAACATCACAAGGATCAATGAGAACACTCTGAATTACATTGACAGTTTTGCGCTTGAGCTGTATCGGATGGATCTAGATATGCAAGTTTATCCTTGAAACCCAGATCCACCCAAAACATTTTTGTTGTATAGATTATTGGTCGCCAACCAGTGGTCCACGAGAAAATGTTGGTGGTCCCCGGGCCCTTCTGATGGCGTGCAGGCTGGGTCATCATTGAAGCGGCACAAAGGCTGCCTCTCACTGATTCAAGCAGCGGCTGTCACAAGGAAGCCAGATAATAGTGGCTCAGTGTGGGGGAAGGGGAGGCACGAGGGTGGTTGGGGGCAGTGCTGAAGCTAGGGGGGGCATGTGCCCCGGGCGCAATGGGCGACCGCTGGTATAGATCATGGAAGAGTTATAATCTCTGTAGTGTTTTTTTGCTATCTGTACCCCTGTTGTGGACATTTATTCACATTGTTTTTTGATGTGTGTCAATTGAGGGGTGATCTCTCCAATGAAGATGGAGATGGAGAAGAGTTAGAACTTCTGCCAGATTTGTATGTGCTGTCTGTGTCCCCTGGGAACAATACCCCTTAATTTCTGTCTAGAAGATTGGTGTTTCTGAACTGAAGACAATACTACCAAAAGGAGACACAGAAGACATTTAATTAGTAAGAGGATCTAACCCTTCCCCACCCTATTAAAAAATTGTAAAAAAATTTTTCAACAGCAGCTAAGCTTTAACGTATTTCTAAGGCCCAAGTTTTTTTTTCTAGTTTTAGAGCAGAAAAGGGTTAAGGTGGAAAGACACTGTGCAAATATTAAGGAACCTGCCGAAATTCGCACAGTGGGTGCCCCTGTCAACACCCTCTATCAGCTGAATGAACAGAGTGGGCAGCCAATTAGTTTCTTACACTCATTGGCTGCCAGCTACGTTTGGCTGCTGTCAGAGTACAGGGAAGACAACAGGAGATTCCTCAATCAATGCTTGCAAGCGTTGATGGAGGAATTTGTTCTATTTTTTCCGTTCAGCCCGTGGGTTGAACGTAAAAAGATAGAACAGTGTATATAAACAAAAAAAACAAACTAAACTTAAATGGGCCTATGAAGTCCAACCACTGAGAAATATAAACAAAACAGACCACATAAACAAAACCAAACTACAAAAAAAGCACAAAAAAACCCAAAGCAAAACCCCTCCCTCAAAAAGCTCAAAGCTCCGAATCCTGACGCAAAGCAAAATATTTGGCTGCATTTACAAACTCTCTCCATTGAAACCAAGTATTCTGAAAACTATCAGAGATATTCTTAAAAGAGCTTGTGAGATCTTCCATAGGGTAAATATCCTGAATACCATCAAACCAAGAATGTATATTAGGTGGTTCAGATCTCTTCCACAAGGCTGGGATACTGGCGCATGCGGCATTAGCCATATGCCGCACCACTGAGCACATAAAAAGCTTGATCAAAATATATGCAACGTGTCTGCTTCTAGGGTCTTACATTGCCAACAACAGTTAGAGGACTTTGGGAACATAGCATGAAGAATCTGAGGGGTCCTGTACCACCTAGAGATAATTTTATAACCTAGTTCTTGATTTGTATTACATATAGAAGAGTGATAGGATAGAAGTTTTGGATGAACGGTTTTATAAACAAATATTTTTCTGTGTAACTAAGGGGGAGGATGGGACGGATTAGGAGAAGGGTGCCTTCTAATATCAATCTCCCAACATGTATCTGGAGGGTAGAGGGCTGCCTAGGTACCTTGTGACCAGGAAGTGTTGGGGATCCATTTTTTTTATTTATCTTCAGAATTTATGTTTGAACAATCTACTGCACTTTTGGCTATTTTGTAAGGCCATGCATTATTTACAATTTCAGTGTCTTTCTATATATATTTTCTTTATTGATTTATTATAAAAGTGACTACAAAAAATAACATTTTAAAACATTTGTACCGGTAAATATAAAATATTGCATATACATAATTACCGCTCCAGCCAGCAAGTGAATCTTTATGTTTCTTTTCATATGCTTACCAGGCTAGACTTCACCCTTTTCTTAAAAATGACAACAAAGCACCTTTAGAAATGTTTAGTAATGTAAATCTACAAACACATACTTCTAGATAATTGCCGGCTTTTTATTCTTCGCATACCTTGTTTTTCTTTTCCTCCCCATTCTTCTCACAGTGGCCGCTTTGACTAAGTGCAGATTAATTCATCTCCCTTTACTTTCTGGTACACGGGTACCTACTTGAGCAGTTTACAGATGAGATTTCCCAGGAAAGCACTGGTGAAATCTCATTTCCCAGGATCCATCTGTTAGGTCAGGATTACAACACTGATGCCTAGAGGACCAGGAAGTAGAAAAACATGAATTATAGTTAAAAGCAAAAAATGTTTAGCAATGAATGTTACATGATTTTATATCAGAATGCAGAGCTTGCACGCTGATGTGATTTTTTGTAAAAGAGGGTAAAGGTTTGCTTTAAAGACGTTGTAAACATCAGAATTGTAATAAGAACTTTTTGATAATGCAATAAAATTTGCAATCACTTTCAACAACTTCTTGGATTCCTAGTAGGCTTTGCATCTCTTTCCCGGCTGCTTGACATTATGCAATCTCAATTTTTCAAGACTACATATTCCACCATGCATCGCTTCCAGCAATCAATGATAATGTTAAATTGTGGACATTTCCTGTTTTCACTGCGAGGGAAGGGGAAGAGTTGAGTTGTAGTTCAGCTTTGTGAGAGTTGTGACACAAGCAAGGGTATATTCACAGAGTGAAATTGTATCACTGCATTGAGGAAGTACATCGTATGGGCATCATCAATAAGTAAGTTTACAAACTTCTAGATCAGGGGTCTCAAACTCAATTCACTCTTGGGACACTCGACAATTTTTTTCTCCCATGGGGGCCGCTTGCTAAATTTCATACTTCAAAATAAAATGTAACTATATCCAGTATGGTACTATGGACACTAATATGTTCACAATAAGGTCCCGTTCATATCTGTAAGTTTAGTTGTGATTAGGGATTCCTGCGT